AGTTGGTTTAATTACTATTGGAAAATGCTTGTCATTCCTCTGTAGCATCTGGTCCCCACTGGACCCTCATCATTTCCTTCACCTGCTCCCCCCACCGACCAAACTGTGCAGCTCTGCAACTGCATACTGGCCCATCCTCACCCTTCTGCCCCCAACCCTCACCTCCTTGTACCCCCAATATGTTTTTCCCAATAAAAAAATATTTTAAAAAATACAGAAAAATCTCATCTTCTTTTGGAAAAAGCATCACCCAAACAGAAGAAACTAGGATAAAAATGATTTAAAGTACATATTCTACTTAATTTTATTAAGTAAGTCAAGAAATATTTATTAAACATCTAAATCTTCTTAGTATATATGTGCATTAATGGAACATTTACCTCTTATTTCTTTGGTAAACTTGACACGCTGGGAGTCTGTTAGTGGTTTGGTCTGTTCATTGATGTTCTGAATGTCTAAAACCTCACACATGAACTCAATGATAGGCTGAGCCCGATAGAAAGCAGTTGCAGATACTAATAAACAAAGAATAAAGATACTTAGCTTCAGGAAAAAGAAAAGGACCCCCCCCCCAAACAAGTCAAAAGAGTACTGGGAGGGATTCCATCATACCATCAATATTGAGCATCATATTCCACATCGCAGGTCTCACAGACTGATGAAAGCCAAACCAAACCTCCCTGCCCCCTCCCAGAGGGTGGTAGTAACCTTCAGGAGGTGAGAAAAAGGAGCGGCCCACAGGAGTGTACCTGAAGATATAAAAGTTTGCCTATTTCACAATAAAACTTTGCAAAGTGTTTTATTTTATTCTCAATGTCATGAACTACAACCAAGCTTAAAATACAGTGTATACAGAAACTTTTTAACAGCTCAATGTAACCTCCCCAAAATGTTTGATAATTATGGAAGAGAATTCTATCAAGGCACTAACCTCATAGAGGGGAGGTGTCTTGTGATAACATCAAGTGCTTGTACTGAGTCATCTGGGACTTCATTCAAATGTCCTGCCAGAGCCTCTAAAAGCAACTGAAGGCTCACAACTGATACCCACTGAACAGACACTTTAAAGGTTTGGTCTTTACCTTCACCTGGAAGGGTCACCTCCATATCAACCTGAGGGGAAAACAGACACACACACACACACACTTACAAATGCTGTGGTGGGAAAAAAACCAGGAATATTCAACATGGTATATGCCTAAAAAATGCATGGTTAAAAATTTTCTGTCACTGTAAAACATTAGAAACAATCTAGGCTGGGTTTAGAAGGAGTAATGGTACTAGGGATATTGTAGTTGATGTTAGATGGATCTTAGCTGAAAGCAGGGAATACCAGAAGAATGTCTATCTGTATTTCATTGACTATGCAAAGGCGTTTGACTGTGTGGATCATAACAAACTGTGGCTGACTCTGAGAAGAATGGGAATCCCAGAACACTTGATCATTCTAATGCGAAACTTATACTTGGACCAGGAGGCAGTCGTCAGAACAGAGCAAGGGAACACTGCATGGTTCAAAATTGGGAAGGGCGTAGGCCAGGGACACGTCCTATCTCCATACCTTTTCAACCTGTATGCAGAACAGATTATCTGAGAGGCTGGGCTCTATGAGAAGTGTGGCGTCAGGAATGGTGGAAGATCTATTAACAATCTGCGTTATGCAGATGACACAAGCCTGCTTGCTGAAACTGAGGAGGACCTGAAATGCTTGTTACAGAGGGTCAAGGACTGCAGCCTTCAGTATGGATTGAGGCTCAATGTCAAGAAGACAAAGATTCTCACCACTGGACCAATTGGCAGCATCAGGATGGATGGTGAAGAGATTGAGACTGTTAACAACTTTAGTCTGCTTGGCTCCACAGTAGCACTAGTAGCCAGGAAATCAAAAAACGTATTGCGATGGGAGAGTCTGCTGTTAGGGACTTCTCCAGGGTACTGAAGAGTAATGATGTCACTCTGGAGACTAAGGTGTGTCTGATACAGGCTATGGTTTTTGCAATCACTTGTTATGCATCAGAGAGTTGGACAATGACTAGGGAGGATAGATTGATGCCTTTGAGCTGTGGTGCTGGAGAAGAGTATTGAATGTACCATGGACTGCTAGGAAACAAACAGATTCATCCTGGAGAAGGTTAAACCAGGCTGCTCCTTGGAGGCAAGGATTCTGGGGCTTCGTCTGACATACTTTGGACATGCTGTAAGGAGGGACAGGTCCTTAGAGAGGGACATCATGCTTGGGAGGGTGGAGGGATGGCACAAGAGGGGAAGACCCTCTATGAGGTGGATTGATTCAGTGACTAGGGTAATCGGGATGGGTGTGTCAGAGGCAGTGCAATTGGCACAGGATAGAGCAGGGTTTAGGGCTGTTTTACCTAGGGTCACTATGAGTTGCAAGTGACTCGACGGCACATAACAACAACAACCATCAAATCAGAACCGACCCATAGCTCACCCTCCAGAGGGTTTTCAGAGGCAGATAATCACATGGGAGGAGACTATCTGTCCTTCTCCTGCAGAGCAGCTGGTGGGTTCCAACAACAGGCCTTTGGTATTGCAGCAGAGCTTCTTACCACTAGGCCCAGAGCTCCCCATCTATCAACAGAGGACTATATCAATATGAAATTTTAATATTAAAAAAACAAGGTAGATCTAAATGGACAGAATGGAAAGATCTCCCAGACCTAATGTTAAATGTTTTTAAAAAATCAATCATAGGGGAGCTCTGGTGGCCTAGTGGTAAGGAGCTGCAACTACAATCCCAGAGGCGCACGGTTCAAATCCACCAGATGCTCTGCCAGAAAAAGGAGGGACAATCTCCTCCTGTACCAGTCAGATCTGATTTGACGGTACATGCACAGAAAAATAATAAAATAAAAAAATTTTTAAAAAATCAATCATAGAACAGATGTAAAGAGACAAAGAATACACAAAGCAAATGTACATAAAAAGATCTGAAAAGATACAAAGCAAATTTTCATCAGTCGTTTCTGCTGAAGAGAAAAATGGAACTAAAAGGTGCAGGCAGGTAGAGGAGGCAAGAAAACACATTTCTAAATTATCTGTATAAGTTTAGGTGAACATATATTCATGTATTACTTTTCTAATTTTAAAAGTATCTCTATTTTAACATTATTATACACAAAGTTTGGAGGCTTATGTGTGAAGCAGCTGGATTCTGGAAGATCGTTTCTCTTGTCTTGGTGAGGATCTGGTGTGGATTGTTTTGTTTTGGTTTTTTTGTTCACAACTGGGTGTGAGCTGATTGGATTGAATCGATTTAGCTAATTAAAGTGGTGCTATGTTTGGGATGAACATTGTTCTAAGTGGTACAAAACCGGTCTGTCAATTTGCTGTACTGAAGTAACTTGGGGTCACTGTGATGCTGAACGCTGTGCCACTGGTGTGTCAAATGCCCTAATGGTTACCCATCATGCATAGTGTTTAGTGGAGCTCCCAGATTGATTCTGGTTTGAAAGCAAGAGGGGCATTCACTTCCTAAACCACACGCCTCTGGAAACACTATGAACATAGAGAAACGGTAACAGTTATAGAAAAGGGTTCAGACCTTTTGTTCATAGGGTTGCTATTAGTCGTGCTTGACTAGCCAGCACTTAACAACAACAACAACATATACAGAGTGCTAAATATAGAATTACCATTATGACCTAGCAATTCCACACCTAGGATATAGTAAAAAAAAATTTAAAATAGATATTTGAGTACCAATGTTCACTCATAGTAGCATTACTCACAAGATCCACAAGGTAAGAAATATTCAAGTGTCTATCAATTGAAGAATAGATAAACACAAGGAGATATATATAATAAAATAGAACATGATTTAGTCATGAAAGGAATGAGGAACTGACACATTCTACAACACAGATGAATTTTGAAAATATTAGGTTAAGTGAATTAAGTCAGACACAAACACAAGTATTACATGATTCCACATATGTGAACTATCTAGAATAGGAAAATTCATTGAAAGTAGAATAAAGGTTCTTTTAACCTTATTTTAAACTTTTGGGTTGGAGGAAGAAGAAAATGGGAGTTACCGTTTAAGAACAGATGTTCTGTTTGGGATGACAGAAATAGAGTATGATGACAGTGACACAAAAATGTGAATATTCAGCAAATAAATTAACAAAAATGTGAATACCATAGTCTATGTATCAACTATGATACTTAAGAGTAATTAGACTCTTAAAAATTGTGGCAATGGTAAATTTTGTTGTGGTTATTTACCACAATAAACAAATGTAACTAACAAAGTTATTGTGGTATTGTGAGTCTAAACCCATCCTATTTTCCTAAATCAATGTTTCTATAACATAAAAACATCATTGTTCCGATTTTACCTTTTAACAATGTGAGAAACACCGAATAAATGTAAAGATGGCATGTTCACTGTTGTTAGGTGCTGCTGAGTTGACTATGACTCTCAGTGACCCAATGAACAACAGATCAGAACCTTGCCCTGTCCTGTGCCTTCCACGTGATCTCTGACATACTCAAGCCATTGTTACAGTTACTGTGTCAATTCATTTTATTGAGACTCTTCTATCTCATAAGCATAAGCATAAGCATAAGCATAGCAACCTAAATGCTAACGGTCATCTCACCTTCAATCTTTGATTAACTAAGAGATAAGAGAATGTGAACAGAATAGTCAAGTTTATCACTGTGAGCTCTGACAGCTTAATGCCAAGAAACAGAGCTGCCAACTCGAAGGCAGGCATTTTGCATCCATTAGTTGCTCCATGGGGAAAAGATGGGTCATCTCCTCCTATGTGATATACTGCCTCTGCAAATCCACTGGACTGTCAGCTATGATTTGGTTCCAACTTGACTGTACATACAAACAAACACCAAATCATCATGAAGAGAAATAACTCTAAAAAATAAATTCTTACTAGAAAGCATTTTATGTAACTATTTTAAAAGTAATCACTACCAAATAACTTACAGCTATTAAATATTTCTTCGTTAACACTCACCCTATCCCGTCCAATTGGCAGTGGATGCGCTGTGTACATATTTCTTTTGCCATCATAGCCAGGCTGCCGGTCACCAAATATTTGCATCTTGAAGTGTCGTACCATTGTATCTACCACCTCCCTTAACAATAATGGAGACACTAGCAGTTAGTTTTGTGAAACGGTGAATAATAAGGAAAGCAGAACTGCCATTTTGATCTTGTGGTCTTGGTTATTCTAAGGAGTAAGCACTTTCCTGGTATTTCTGAACACCTCACACTTGTGGGTGGAGTGGTCAGTGGGAACAAACTGCTGACTTCAGCGTTAGTAGTTCTTTATAACCACTGTGACACTAAGGCTCCTTGAATTATTACAAGTATCTTCTAATAGCTTTTCCTGTTTTCATCCTTACCTGCTTAGCAGTCAGAAAAATCTGTTAAAAAAATCTAGGTCAGTTGTATATGACATTGACTGTAAGATTAGGGCCCTATGGAGTTTCTTTACTCTTGTTTGCTATCACTTTTCCCCTTTCTCTCCAGCAAAAGACCTATTTGTTAAACCTTAACTATATATACTATGTAAGCTGGAATACTCCTCATTTCTATATTCCTTACCTCCTCCACATTTCCTCTCAAATGTCATTTTTCAGTGAGACCTTCCATAATGATATGAAAATAAATCTTATATGAACATAAATCCAAATATTATCAATGCTCTGCCTCACCCCATTTCCTCCCTCTCTGCTTTTATTTTTCACCATAGCATTCATTATCATTACTTTAAGTCTTCTTCCACTAGCTACAAACTTTTCAAGGGTAGGAACTTTTGCCCACATGTTCACATTATATTTCCAGAACCTAGAACAATACTTGGCACATAGTAAGCGCCAGGTAAAATATTTGCTGAATGAATCAATGTTAGCCATTGCTACTCCTTTCACTATGACTACTCTCTCAGTCATGTAATAGGCAAATTATTATGACCTCATATGAGAATGAACTATGTCAGAAAGTCAAATTATTGGTTTGCAATAAGAATAAAAACATAAGCGAGTGCAAAATATTTTACTTGACAAAAAAAGAACATTTTCATCACACACTGCTTGAATAACACTTCATGGAATCATAAGAAAAATGGGTCCTCTTGGCACGCTGTAAGTATACTTGCTATAGATTCATGTGTCCACACATGGCATAGTCCTCTCATATTTCTAACTCCCATATGGATCCCTACTGAACGAGGCTAGAAACAAATAGAATTTTTCTCAGAGCCCACTTTTTAAACAATGCTACAAGATGATTTTTTGGCTTCACATTTCTATTTTTTTCATGTGAAATCACACCACTTAACTATAAAATCTGAATTTCCAGATTGTTTTCTTTTGCATGAACATCAATATCTCTACTTATTTTCTAAATTTCTGTTGCCCCTAGCCAATATAGGAGTGATTTTTCTTTTCTTTCATTCACTGTTTACTGACTGATCAATGATGTATCTAGGACGCTGCTAGGATCTGTGGAAGATAACCAGGTATGAAACCACTAACCTGCCATCAAGAACCAAATCATCGTGGAGAAAACCAGAGAGCACATGTTAAAAGAACATAGGTAACAATGTGGATGGGACATAATAAAAATACTATATTAACTTCAATGTGTAGAATCATACTTTCTCTAATCCTTACCTGTTGACTCTACGAGGCCGTTTTTCTGGTTTAATATCTACATCATAGTGATACACATCTATTTTAGGAATCTGAACTTGAAAATGATTGGCTAACAATCGAATTGGTTTTCCAACAGTCCCAAGGCCAGGACGACGAGGGGGCTGAAACAGGCTGGTTGGAGGTCCTAAAGAAATTTAAAGACATTTGATATGTTATTTATTTGGTCATGAAGGATGATATCCTTTAATGATGATGATGATAACCAAAGCTACTGAGATCTTATTCATCTAACATATTCTGATATAGTTTGGGGTACTTCTTGACCTATATTTAAATTCCTAAATGTTTTTGCCATTTTGCTATTATTCTGAGTTTGGAGATATCAAAATGTTTGCTGACTTCCTCTTCGATACTGACTACTGTACAAAACTTTTTACGCACACTGTTGTTGATTCCCTTCAAGTCAAGCACGACCCATAGCGACCCTATGAACAAAAGGCCTGAAGACCCTCTACAACTATCGACATTTATCAAAGTTCATAGAGTTTCTGGAGGCATGTTGTTTAGGAAGTGGATGCCACTCCTGCTTCCAAACTTGTCATAGGATGTTACTGCTGTTAAGTGCCGTTGAGTCGCCTGCAATGTATAGTGACCCTATGTACAGCCGCTCTGAACCCTGCCCTGTCCTGAGCCAGTCTCACTAATTCTGACACACCAACTCCCATTGCCCTAGTCACTGTATCAATCCATCTCATCCGGGGTCTTCCTTTACTGCACTGTCCGTCCACTCTTCCAAGCATGATGTCCTTCTCTAAGGACCAGTGTCTCCTGACCATGTGAACATTAACATCTCTAAAGTGGAGCTTGTAAAATTACATGCATTTAAAAATAAAATCATCTTTAAACTCTGGGCTCATCACCATGTTATGGCTAGAAATTATCTATTACTCTTACGTAAATCAACCTCTATTATCACAGGCTATTAATATTCTGAAATCTACAGGGAACTGCCGGAAATTCAAGCCAAATTAGGAAGAGGACAAAAAACAAGGGATATCATGGTAATATTGGTGGCTTTGAGTTGCGGTGCTGGAGAAGAGTTTTGGACCACCAAGAAAACAAACAGGTCTGTCTTGGAGAAATCAGATTTCTCCTCAGAGGTTAGGATTTTGAAACTCTGTCTCACATACTTTTGGCATGTGGCCAGAAGGGACCAGTCCTTGGAAAAGGACATCATGCTTGGAAGGGTGGAGGGACAGCACAGGAGAGGAAGATTCCAGATGAGATGGATTGACACAGTAACTGCGGCAGCTGGAGTGGGTGTGATGAAGTTAGCAAAACTGGCTCACGACGAGCAGGCTTCAGTGCTCATAGAATCACTATGAGCCAAAGGAAAACTGACGGCACATAACAGCCATGGACTGTACATACAAAAGAGATTAAACACAAGCTATGTTTATCTTCAATATGGATTGCATATCAACATCTAAAAAGCAAAGATCCTCACCATCAGGCAAACAGACATTATCATGATGGAGAAAGGACTGAGATTTTTAATTATTTCATCTTGCTTGGATCCACAATCACCATTCTTGGCAGCAGAAGTCAGGAATCAAAAGACAAATTGCACTAGGAAAATTTGCTGTCAAGGATCTCTCCAGAATGCTAAAGAACAACAGCGTCAGTTAGAGAGAGACTAAGGTGCCTGATCCAGGCCATGGTTTTCTCAATTGCTTGCTATGCATCTGAGAGTTGGACAATGACTAAGGATGACAGAAGAAGAATAGACACGCCTTTCAGTTTTAAACATATCAAGGACTGCCAAGAGAACATAAATAAATGTCTGTCATGGAGAGAGTGAAACCAGTTTGTTCCTGGGAGGCAAGGATTTTGAATCTTTATCTTACAAACTTTGGGCATGTGGCTAGGATGGACCAAGCCTTGGGGAAGGACATTATGCTTAGATGGGTAAAAGATCAGCGCAGGACAGGACACTCTGGATTAGATGGATTGACACAGTAACTGTAGCAATAGGGTAAGGTCTGTCTGAGACAGTGAGTTTGGCTCAGGATAGGGCAAAGTTCAGCATCTTTGTTCACTGGGTCACTATAAGTCGTAGTCAACTTCATGGCACATAACAACAACAACAACGTACTTTTTATTTGCTAATTTTGGAGAGTGAAACAATACCAGTAGTACTAGCTTAACATTTTTATAATCAGATCACTAGAAACTGACCAATTTATGATTATCCTGGTTCTTTTATTCAACATTTACTTATTTTTAAAATACCAAATCTGCACTGCAGACTCAAATCAGCAACTCCTACTCTCAGAGAATTTATGGTCTAAACCAATGGTTCTCAACCAGGGGAGATTCCTTTCTTTCCAAGAAACATCTGACAAATTTTTAGAGAGATTTTTGGTTGTCAGACATGGAAAGTGCTTCTGGTCTAGTGGGTAAAGTCCAATGACACAGCTAAACGTCTGACAATGAACAAGTCAATCTTCCAGACTAAAGATCTAATCCAAGACATCAACAGTGCTAACACTAAGAGCCATATTTATCTAGACAAACACTCTTTCCAAACAGTTTCATTGATGGTTTACAATATATTCCACAAAAAAAGGATTTCATAAACTAAAGAACTCTTGCATATTTGTTTCCTTCTTAAACCTTTACTATGTATATTGCAAAAATCTCCATCATTTAACTCATCATTTAACCAATTTAATTTCCCCAGAATTTTTAAAAAAATTAACATCTTGCTGCAACCACTATGGAAGGCAGTATAGTATTTTCACAAAAAGTTAGAAATAGAAATACCATTTGACCCAGCAATTCCGCTACTGGGAATATACTCTATAGAAACCATAACTGCCACCCAAGCAGATATATACACACCCATGTTTACTGCTGCTTTGTTCACAATAGCAAAGAGTTGGAAACAACCCAAGTGTCCATCAACAAATGAATGGATAGAGAAGCTGTGATATATTCACACAATGGAATACTATGCAGTATTGAAAAACAAAGAACTCATGAAATATTATACAAAATAAGTGACTCTGGAGGACATTATGCTGAGCGAAGTATCTCAGTCACAAAAGGATGAATACTGCATAGTGCCACTATTGTAAAATGGGACTGACATCGGGGTTGGGGGGAATCTAAAAAGAGGGGCTAAATAATGTATACTGCATTGAAACAAACGAGGAAGAGGACTGTTTAAAAGGAATATAGGACTAGGTATTATTTTCATGACAAGATTCCAGAAAAAGAAATGCATAGTATAGTGGACTGTGGACTTAGGGGACAGGGTGTATAATAATGAAAAAATTTTTTTTCTTTTCAAAGAGAAAAAGGAACTGGGGGTGAGGAGTAGCAGGGAAGAAATGGGGGTGAGGGGTATGCAGGGAGGAAAATGTGCAACAATGAATGGGGGAAAATTAAATATGCTGTAATATATATGCATTAAAAATCATTAATAAAAAATTAACCAATAGCTATTGATATCTAGCAGAAAAGGTTTTATGTGACAGTGCAGGAGCCACCTATCTAAAGAAAATTATACTCCCTTTTGATGATAATATCAAGCGGACCTTGGTCTAAAAAACAAACATCTTTTCTGCTATGAATAAGTGTTGAATGAAGTGGGCTGTGATTATAATATGTTCTCTTACTGCAATGATATTTCACTGAGAACAAAGACAATTCTCTTAGAAGAGAGAACTTTGAAGCAAGAAGCTGCTCAGGCCTATATCAGAGAAACATTTTAATGAAATCGCTTCCTTTGGTGACAGATCATATTATACCAATTTTTACTTTAAATTTTTTAATATTAAAAAAGTATTAAAAATATTTTCACATATTAAATCCACTGTTTATTTCCCCCTTAAATTTTCAAAATAAATAAACAGTTACCACTGAGTGAATTCCAACTCATGGTGAGTCTATGTGTGTCAGAATAGAAGTGGCTCCATATTATTTTCTTTTCTATTTTTCCTTTTCATTGCAATTTGAAGCAAAGTATACAAAGCAGATTGGTTTTCCATTAAGCCATTCATGTACATTTTGTTTCATGACTTTAATGCAGCTACACTTTTCTCACTTCTCCCCTGTGATTCTGACGCCTATTAATCCTTCTAGCCTACCCCTTTTTGCCTTCTGAACTTTACTCCTGGGTAAATGTTACCATTCTGCTGTTGTGTGATTGTGTTTTCTAATGAGTACCTACTTTCCTGGTGTTACTGGACACTTTACATATAGATGTACTGTCTGGCTGAAGTCGAGCCACGGGGGAAAATTTTATTCCAGGTTCGTAGGTGTCTAAGGGGTATATTAGGGGTTCCATCAGTCTCTATCAGACTAGTAAGTCTGGCCATTTTTTATGGTTTTGAGTTTTGTTTCACATTTTTGAGCTGTGATGTTGGAGAAGAGTACTGAATATCCCATGGTCTACCAATAAACTAAAAGGATAGGTCTTGGAGAAGATGCAGCCAGAGGCAAAGATGAGTATATTGTTAGGAGAGGTTATTCCTTGGAGAAGGGCATCATGCTTAGAAAAGTGGATGGTCAGAGAAAGAGAGGAAGACCCTTAACAATATGGACTGATAAAAAAGTGCAGCAATGGGCTCAAGTATGTCAGAGAATAATCATAAGAAGAGGGCACAAGATGAAAAGGATTCAGAGTCGTATTTGACTCGATAGTACCTAACAACATTCCATATATAGTGCCAATTGTTCATGCTCTCTCTCATCGTTGTCAAGTCAGGTCAGACTCATAGCTGACCCTCCTGTGGGTTTCCAAGGCTATATATCACAGGAGAGGAGACTGCTCATATCTTCCCTGTGGAGCAGTTAGTGGATTTGGACTACCAGAGAAGAGTGACTTTTAGGTTTGTAGCAAAACTCTCTATGGACTGTGCCTCTATAATTGCTTAATAAAATAGGTTGTTTTGTTTATTGCTGTCGAGTTGAGCATGACTCATAGAGACCCTATAAACAAAAGACCTGAAGCCTTTCTATAACTATCATAATTTATCAAAGTTCATAGAGTTTCCAGAGGCATGTTGTTTATGAAGTGGATATATGGGGAAACAAAAAGTCTTTTCACTAGCTTTATGGCAATATTTACCTTATTGTGGTAGTCTGGAACTGAACCTGTAATAACTCT